GGTGTCATTTGATTATATATTTACTATAGCAAAGGCATGGCACTGGAATAACACAGCTATGCAGAAAAAAAAACCTTATGAGCTTAGTACACACTATTTCCCCCCAAACACAGCTCCTGACTAAAGTTGTCCAAAGAAAACAATCCACCTAATATAAGCAGAACACTTCAAAGAGAAAATTACAAGGGACAAAACCGATGTGAGAGGATGAAGAATCCCAGAGGGGCTTTATCAGGATCCCTTTCAGTGGACGTTCCCATGTTTTAGTGGAAAAAAAAGAAAAACAACAACAGAAAAGACCCGGGAGTGTGAGCCTCTGCGACTGATAGAGGATTTTCCCCTGGCTAGACACAGAGCCTCTAAAAAAGCTGCGGCAGAGTGTGGGATCATTAAACACCTTCAGATTCCTTCCTCGCTGCCAATCACGGCATCAGCAACCGCCCTCTCCGTGGCGTCTGCTGATTCCACTTTGAAAACCTCCCCATTTATCACCGCCGCGAGAGATCCTGCTGAGACCGCTGGAGCCTGCTGCTTGTCAACAGGGCACCTTATCTTCTCCAAACATTTACTTAACCCTTTGTCTCACAGCCAGGGAACAATGGGAGCCCGGCCGCGGCCCCGCCAGCCTCCTGCACGGGGCTCCTGCTGCCACCCTGGTCCCGCGTGGCCGTGGGTGTCCGCAGAGGTGCTGCAGGCTGCGGTGGTGCCAGCCAGGGAAAAGGTCACTGGGAACAAGGCAGGGGGGAGAAATTACTGCTAAGTGTTTTCTAGCAGGCGCAGAAGGCACGAGGAGCTTCTCTAGCTCTAGACAGGCAATAAAATGCACCACTGGTAACCCAAATCAGGCCAGGATTGGTGCAGCTCCACTTTAGGGCACGTCACCACCTTCAGAGGGGTAGTTCAAGCTGTGTACAGCCCTAACCATTGTTTTGTATTGTCCTACACTCACTGCCTTGGTAAGTGGAAGACTGGATGTGTCTTCACTGAACAACTTATGTCAGAACAATTTTTTATTTTTTAATAAAAACAGGGCTTTTTTTTTTTTTTGGTGAATCTTGTTTTGATGAAGCAAGTGAACCAGTGTTACAGGTTTTTTTTTCTGGTGAGAGATGGATCAAACGTCTATGACAAGAAAATGAGGTCTCAACTCTTGACCTTTGGTGCAGCAGGGGAGAAACCTACGGCTGGTTTCAGGACCTGCAGCTCAGCACCAACGCCGTGCATCAATTCTGCTGTGCCGGCGCTGACAGTCACACACCGCCGTGAGGTCATGGCAGAGACCCACACAGCCCGGCTGAGAGCCAGGTGCTCTTGGCATTTATGAAACACACAAAGAACCTCGAGGCTCACCTCGTACCAAAAACCTGAACCAAAAAGCCCTGTGACCTTTCCACCACTTCCAATGGGCTTTGGAGCAGGATATTCCTCCACCGAGCCGACAACAACCCCCTAGCAGCCCTGCAGTGGGTGATGGCTGGCAGAGGCACTTGTCCAGCAATGAAGGGGGACACTAATCCACAAAAAAAAAAAAACAACAGGGAACACAGAAATGGGCCTTTGCAGCTCCGCTTCCCCGGTTATGAACAAGCACAGCAACCCAGTGGTTGCACTGAGGACAGTAACAAACGGCCGCACATCTGAAGCTGAGCTCCAAGCCTTCACATTGTCATTGCGAGCTTTGTGCTGTTATCTATGACAAGAGCTGGGAGTTCACATCTTTATCTACGAACAAAGACTCGCAGATCCCGGCAGCGTTTGGCGGTATGACAGCCTCAGGAAACGTGGAATACAGCTAGCAACAAACAGCTCCTCTGTCACAGCTCTGGTGGCAGACTGAGGCTCCTTTCTTGGTCCCAGCCCGGACTGGTGGATTCTCCAAAGTGTTTTAATTAACTGCCCTTCATGGGCTTACTCAGCAGAGCTGGGAATGAGCTTGATGCATGCTTGTGTGCTTCCAAGTACTCCTGCAAGTCGTGCTACCCAGGTGGTCTCCCTGAGCCATTTGGAGGGAATATAGGAAGGGCTAAGAATGAACTTTGTGCTTTCTAGCCATATACACGTTACATCCTGACTGTCACTTCGTTACGTACTTAATTAAGCACATATTCACAGCCTTGAGGTCACCTTGGGGACAGATCCTTCTGTTTTTAACTCTTGTGCCATCTAACAGAGCTTAGGACCCTTTCTAATGAGAGAGGTTTTTCATTCTCCAGCAGCGAGTGTTGCACAACACCAAGTGTGACTGCTGGCAAGTGACTCATGCCAAATTTGTGCGATGTTCGGCAGGCCAGCGTGGCCCTGTGGACACCACACTGTGGTTACTGAGATGCAGGTAAAGGAAAGGACTCCCTCGAATACAGCTCAGGATGCATACTTGGAAGCTGTGCTCTCCCTGCCCATGGGAACACAAGAGGAACAAGAATGATGTTGCCAGCCACTCTGGAGCAGATTTGAGGCCATCCCTGTTGGACAGGGGACCACAAGGCAGCAAGAAACCCATAGCACATGCACAGCATGGGGAGACCTTTAGGACTTGAGAGGGCAGAAGCAGAGAGCCCTGGTGACCTTCTCAAGGGCACCATTGTTTACTCTTCAAACATTGATTAAAGCATAACAGAGCCCTGGATGGAGCTGGTCTGTGTCCTGAATTTGAGTAAGTGCTCAAATAGTGCTTTGACCACTCTGATTTTCTCTGTACTCAAAGAAATGCCTGTGGCAGGAGTCAGACCGGGCATCATTCCCTGAACTTTTTCTAGTGACATCCATGTTTCTCTATGTAAGGAGAAGCTCTATTCAGAGCTATGCAACTTCTCAGACAGAAAATGTGTTAGTTTAAGGCCTATAGGGAAGTTTAGTGATGCTCTCATGCTGCTTTCCACCTTTTTGGGGGCCAGTGGGAAGTGCCAACTTGCTCCAACTGTTAATTTATTCTTCTAAAGACCTGTGATTAAGACACAGTGATTTCTCACTGCCCCCCCCCCCCCCCCCCATTTTTTTTCCCCTGCCTTTTTGGACAAGGAATGCACAAGCTTCCTAATGATAAAATGGAGATGAAATTACCTTCTGTCATGGCTTAAAGGATACTGAGATAGGGAAAGAAGGATATATGAGTAGGTCAAAGGAACGGTGTCATATTTTAAGTGACATCTGAAAAAAAATCCATCTTTATTCATTTGCTAAAGAAATGAACAAAAAAATGGGGTGCAGGCAACTCAGATAACTTCAGATTTCAAAGGAACTTTTTTATGAGGAAGGAAACCAGACTTTTGATATAGTTCATACAACATTTATCCTAAGAGGTGCTATAGGAATGTGACATACGTTTAGTCAGTGTGCCTTGGACTGCAGAGGACACTGCTCTGTAACACATGACTCCCATTTCCTCGTGTTCTTTCTGAGAACAGCTCCTGAAATGGCCAGACATCTGACGTGTTCCACTGTCAGTGAAGACAGTCCTTCTGGCACGGGGCACGTAACCTTTTGTTTTCACAGAGCGTTACTGGACTGACTGGTGAAGTGGCTGTCATACAGCGATGGCAAGCTTTCCCCAGGCTAAGTGACATTCCCAGACCCTTGGCAGCAGAAGACACGTTTCTCCTGCGGTGGAAGCATTTGGAGGAAAGCCCCGCGCGCTTTGGCAGCGCCAGCTGGGTACCTGGCAAGGATCACTCAGCACTGCCTGCCCTCGCTCCGTCCCGCGTTACCTCCACTGCGATAACGGGAGCCTGCGAGCATGCTTGTCCTAATCCCAACAAGGAAAAGCGGAATTACATCAATCTGCAGGGGAGAAAAAGACACCACTTTGGGGATGGATGAGATCCAGAGTCTTGTGTCTGTTTTAGGGCACGGTTCTAGGTCAACAGTGGAAACAGGGTGGCAAAACCACAATACACAGGGTTCTTAATGAGCATGGGGGTTAAACACACTGAAGACAACAAAGCTGTTGTGGTACATTGAGTTACTGTTCCCATCAGTGCAATCAAGAATTTAACAGCAGCTCTTAAATATATATATATATATATATTTTTTTTTTCTCCAGTCCACCAGTGATAGGCAGATGTATGACAGCAACATCCTAAAGCACCAGGCACCTGAATGCAGCTTTGCCATCTCTGCTGCTGGCTGACAGACCATGTACATTTCCTTAAATGCACCTGCTTACTGATGTGCTTTACACCACTTTCATGGAAATCAGCCATTTAGCATTGGCACTGGGCTGACAGCACACCCAGATCATTGTGCTGTTCAGCAGATGTTGCAGTGGCTTGGCCAGGTGAAGTGATACAGCCTGAGCTCCAAGTAATAGCGTTAGAGATAATGAAACCCTTTTGGGATCGTCAGAAGTACTCACAGGATTCTGGAGGCTGCATGCTGAAGCTGTAGGTCTGTACTGAGCTCTCCTGTCTCTCCTTGGAGCTGGTTCTGCAGGAGCAGGAACATGCCTGCAGGGAGACCAAAACGTTATGATTATGTGAAGGCTGACAGGTCCCCGACACTATCTGCTATAGCAGAGGGTGCCCGTGCAGATACGCACTGACTCCTTCAGGAGGAATATTCTTTGTGAAGAGCTGACTAATCTGAAAATGCCTCCTGTGTTCCTACTCCAGGCACTAAACTGAATAAGATTTTTCCCCTGAGCCATTTTTAACTTAACAGTGATAGGTGAGTATCAAGAGAGAAAAAGCCATACTATTGCGTACTTCTTCTGCTAGCATAAATTAAATCTTTTCCTAAATCCTTCATTCCAATACAGGTGTATCTGTACCAAGCCCATCTCATCAAGAACTGATTTTCAAGTCACCCTTTTCAGACTCCTTTTGCCCCATCCTTGTCCGTGCGAGGAGGTTGCTCCTGTGGCAGCAGGCTGGCTGCTGGGTGAGCATCACACTGCTGCCTCCAGCTCATTGAGCCCAAGACGTGAATGGAGCTGAAAGTCATTAAGCCCATGAAACATCAGTTAAGCTACCATGGGATTTTGCCAGCCTGTAATTAACTGGCTGTTAGAAACCAGAAGACCAGACACAGTAGGTTAATACCCCTGAGTGCCAGCTTCTTCGCTGCCTGAGAGTTTGCTGTTAGCTTGGATGAGAGAGGAGAGCAGAGGAGAGCCCTACAATTATGTTTTATCCACCAGAACTGGCTTCTGGCTGGGTTCATGCACTCATGTTGTAAGGGGTAAGAGCATCTTGTGCTCCTACTGGATAAAGCAGACCTCCAGGGAAACACAAAATGAATATTTTATTCATTAGTCATTTTTCATTCATCTTCACTTCTATGAAGAGGCTCCAAGCTGCAGAGAATTTAGTTGGAAAGGTATAAAAATATTTCAAGTTCCCACACCTTCATTCATCGCACATTTTTCCAGATACTCTTCCCAGTTCTCACTCATGTTATACCTCTAACCCGTCACAGTCTTCTTTTAGGCATAATGTCGTTATCTATTACTTTAATCCCAAAATGGTGAGGGAGTGCTACATGGAAAAAAAGTAATGGGAAATAGGCCCAGCAAATGGAGTTAAGGAGAGATAGGAAGGAGCCAGGGTCTGTCAGCTCCCCGGGGCCCCGCAGGATGCCTGCAAATGACAGACAGCATTTCCCTAGTATCAGACGAGGCCAAACACATTTCTTGATAAACTAATTAGGTAAATGTGTTGAAACAATGCAGTGTGACTGGGTGCTTGCTGGCTGTGGCTGTGCCTGGGGCCGAGCTGCTGTTTGGTGCCATGCGGAGCATACGGCCTTCTTCAGCTTCCATGTAGGCACTGGGCCTAACCTCAACCACCAGGCAAGGGGCCTTTAGACCTCCTCCTGGTTCTTCTCCTACACAGGAGACACCACTGAGTTCAGCACCGTGCCCAATATTTTTTCCCTCTGTATTATAGCCAGCAGTAAGGAGCAGATTCACAGGAGGGCCAAGGCAGGGCCATGGAGACCTTGGCCACTCTTTCCGCATGCTGAGGACTCCCTATTCTCCAGCCACCCCAAGCCAGACCACTGGCAGCAGCATTTGTTTCGAAACCCAGGCAAAAAGAAACATTCCCAGTCCACATGCTTGCTCGCAGGATGAAAAATTACATCCTATCCTTCCTCCTCCTCCCTCTCGGTCCTTCACTGCCTTCCAAACATGATGCCGGGCCGCGTATATCCTGAGCAGCCTTTGCTCAGACACGACAACCTGGACTTGACCCCTGAGGTTCTGGCTCCACCGAGTCTTCCTGGCCATTTCGGGCAGCAGGAACCTCTGTCAGCACCAGTGATGGATGGCTTCAGTGGGAGAGAGGCCTACAGACTAAAAGTCTCACAAACACGGTGACAGGCAAAAATAAAATAGATCCCGAGCACCAGCAGCTTGCTGTGAGCAGAACCAGGGAAGGGCCTGGTCGTGGTTCGTAGTCACAAAGTCGTTCCTCTTCCTGCTTGTCACCATCCTTCCTGCAGCCAATGCGGTACTTAGGGTGTCTTTCTCTTGCCCATGCAGTACTTGGGGTGTTTTTCTCTTGCCCAGGCATTTTCTGGCTTTCAGGCTTTCCCATACCTTGCCTTAACCACCAATAGCTGGAAATGAAGGAAATAACAGCTCGTTTCTCTAGCAAGTTACAAAGGCCACTGCAGGTGCCTTCGCAGGCCCCATACATGCCTGAGGCCATATCTCTGCTTTGTCAAGACTGAGCCCCCAGCAAGCAGACAATCCACGGTGGTATCTCCAACAGACATCATGATCTGCCTGAGGGACAGCTTGACTGACAGACGGCTTTGTTATATTTTACAGAGTCAGGAGAACTTCAGGACAAGATCCATCTCCTCAGGACTGTGTTACTTGCAAGATGTTCCTGAGAGGTTCCCTGGTGTCCCTGCCTGGTGCCCACCCTCAGCTACCACCTGTACCCTGGGCTGGGCTTGGCACCACAGGATTTCCCAGTGAGAGACACCCCAGAGATTGGCCTCAGGGACATCAACTTCTTGACTCCTTGGCAGATTCTGGGCAGCCAATGCAGCCCAAAGAGGAAATGAGGGCTGAGGAGCAAGGATCTGACCTTGTGCTTCTGCCTCCTTTTCCAGATTAAGCTATTTCCTTATGAGACACACACCCTGCAGTCCAAATATTAGCTGAGTTTCCATTTCAGGCAGTGCCATTATTAGCCAACTCAATCCCAGCATGCGTTGTACCCACTCTATTTCGTGACATTTTAACATTGAAACTCCATTCATTTGCTAGGAATGGCCTTTCATTTGCATATCCAGCACAGAAGGCAAGCCCTCAAGGTCATCTGAAGCACTCCTCTGGATCACCAGTGACCTGCAAGCACTGGACTGGGGAAGCATCAGTCAAACTGGAGGGACAAGTCACAGCAATGCTTTGCCACCGCTGGGCTCCACAAACCAGGACACAAGCAGGACATCTGTCATTGCTTCTGGGGACAACCAGATTTACATTCCTCCTCTCCAAGGAGCCTCCAGACTTATTCCACCACCAAAGCAGCAATATGGGCTACACCATGCAAAACGTTTCCTTCAGCCAGGGTGATCAAGGTTGAAGATTAATGGAAACCTCTGGAAACCCAGACTCTGGCCAAGGAATTGGGGTTACTGCATGACAGTGACTGCGTGCTCCGAACCCTGCCCTTCTGCCTGTGCCCCTTACTTCACCTGGTGCTTTATGATGGGTTATGCTAACATACATGAAATTTAATTTCCGGTTATTAACCCACAAGGAGGGTATTACTGTTTTCAAAGACTTTACATTGCTTCCAATTAGCGCTGCCCTTTGGTTTATGGTATGTTGTTTTTCTTGAAAACCTTTGAACCAGGTTGTACATGAGCTGAAGGGCATTCTGGGGTTGTTAATAAAGATTAACTCTTTTAAACAAATACCTGCTCCCATTCATTTGTAAGGATTACACTGTTGCAAAGGAAGGGGATCTGAGGAAATGTTAGCTCCTTGTTTTGCCTTCAAATTTCTCAAATATTTTTTATGCTTTCCTGTATCTGGGATCCCATTTTCCAGCCTTGCCAAAGATGTCCCTCTTTCCATTTCCATAGCAGGATGGTCACAACCAAGTAAGAGCTGCCTCCAGAAGCTGGACACACAGCAGCTATCCTGCTTCTGCCAGAGAACGGCTTTGGGATGGTTTTGTCCAACCACTCCATAAAATGCGTAGAGAAAAGAGGAAGCTTGAGACATTAAGAGGAGAGAAAGGGGGGTTACTGTAACTTTGAAGCAATTACTATTTGACTGCCTTGTTCAATCTCAACTTCCACTGCTCATCTTTCTCCATGCCACCATGAAATTTTATGGCTCCAAGTTAGCTTTAGTCTTTCTGCTTGTCTGGTATCATTTATCTCTTTACCTTCAGATTACTGATGTACATTACAAACACAGAGGCAAATATGTCCTCAGTGTATGTATTCTCACTCTGACTGGCTTTCAGCTTGCTTTTGTTATTACCCTATGATTCTGCCAAAGGATGTATTCACCTATGTTCTTTTATTATTATACCTTCCCTAGCCAGAATATTTAAAACAAGGAAAACAAGAGATTTACCCTGGGAAATTTAGCTTCATTTCTCACCTTTCAGTCAAACCTTTCTCTAGATTTCTGCACATCCAGCTTCCACAGGAGAATTGTTCTTTGAAGTGTGGGTATTTGTACTACACCTTTGCAAGGCACGGTTAGATGTCTTTGTCTAAGAATGACAATTCAAAACATTTCCATTTTCCTTCATTAAATCTGGCTGCATGACCAACACCTGAACTTTATACTCTTATTTAAATGAGAGCAGCTAGCTCTGTCCCAGTGTTTTGCACATAAAAACAACACATAGCTCTTATTTTCCAGAAAGATCACTTGAGGAGGGGATTGCTGGTGTTCCTGATGAGCTGATGGCAACTTCTCCACTAGGGCACTGTGCCAGTCAAAGAGGCTGTCAAAGGTGATCCAACAGCTAACAACTGCCACTGCTGCAGCCTCTCAAAATGATGCCTTCTGTTTATTAACACCTCACCACCCACACGAGGACTTGGTGCTAAACAATAAACAACAGCTGGTGGAGCTGAGCCACCCATGAGCATATCTTTCAGCTAAACTCTTAGGTTTCTTCTAACATGTCCTTTTTCCCCCGTCCTGTTGTGTCTGGATGGCACAAGGCATAATCATGCCCTTATTGGGTGCTTCCTGAGTTGGTTCTGAACTTTTGGTGCCCATGTAACCCCTTAGAGGCACGTGATTCTCCTACCTGAGTTGCAGGACCCTCATTCCTGTGCTCCAGGGGGACACAGATCTCACTCCCACCTCTAAAAAAAATACTGGTGAGCTCTCAGGGTGCCAACCCAGTATCTTTAATTCTAAAAAAAATAATTTAAAAATCAAATGAAACAGAACTTTTTTGTGAAGAGCTCTGGAGGTTAGGGAGGCAAGATCTACACAGATTTCATTACAATTCAGGAGCATCTCACCCTTTGCAGACTCAAACCGAAGGTAAGATCTATGTGCCAGGCAGCCACGGGTCAATACATTCTTTGGCCATGCTCGTTCCCTAAAGAAATAGATGCTTGGTTGGGGAACGGGCTCATTTAATCTATCCTCTGCTTGCACTTCTAGCACTTCTCCCAAAAGCTCATCTATAAAGCAATGAGCCTACAATCCTGTGTGGAAAACACATTGCACTTCTGTTTTCAGTATGGCCATATATCTGCAAGGACATGCAGCCAGCAAAATGGCTGAAGCCTCAGTGGGTCTGCGGACATTTATTGTGAAAAGCAGCAGAGGAGCAATCAAAGTAATTGCTTGGGGCCGAGGTACGTATTTCTAATGAGTCTCGTTGCAGAGGGACTTATTCAGTGTCTTCATTATTTACACAGGACACCACTATCAGTAAAAGGCCTTATTATCTACTCTGTATTTGTTTCTATATCTTTTAGTTTAGCAACTCTCAAATTCAGTGTTGGTTTTTTTATTTTTATAGCTTGTTTCCTCTTTAGTGATATTATCATGGAGCCAATAAAAGTGTTTTCCTTCTACATCTGGTCAAGGAAAGATTTTGCTGGGTACAAGAGTCATATTTCTGCAAATGCCTCCGAGTGAATATAAAAAGCTGTTGGAAGCAATTGAGTTTACTGTTGCCTTATGTACTATCATTAATTAGGAAATAAAGCAAACGGCATTTTATATCACTTGTAATCAAAATGTTACAGTCTTAAAGCGAAGTCTTCCAAGTGCTGAGCTTGAGAAGAGGCAGTCATATAGAGAAGCAGAGGAAAAAAGGATGCAGGGCTTCTATTCTAAAATTTATGGTCCATGTTTTCAGACCAACAATGTAAGAATGGCTTCTGTGCTGAGAGGCAGGATGAGGGCAGCTGCCCTGGCAGAGCAGGCAGGATTATTGCACATAGGGGCTGCCTGGATAACTGGGCAGCTGCCCTGATTTATTCCACCACTGCAGCATCACTGTGACTGTCTGAGCAGCAGCTCACTGTCTGGCTCCCATTCTTGGGTATCACAAGACACTGATATTTAGTTATCAATCCTTCCCTCTGCTTTAGTTTAAATTAGCATTTTTTTAACCCCAAAATATATTTTAATAGAACCCAGTTTTCCTGACTTCCTTTCTAGTCACCTCCTTCAAAATGTTGAGCAGGATAAAAAATCAATAATAAAATCCAAACAAAATACTTAAAAAGAAAAAGAGCATTTCGTCAGCAAGCCTTTTTTTCCACAACCTCTAACATTAGGTGCCTTTGTCAACTCCATTAGGACCATATCTGCACTTTCCGGAGCTTGAATGCTTTCATATATTTGGCTCCATATGAACAAACTGATGGAGCAAACATATTAGTAGATCATTTGCCATGTACATGATTCAGATACCCAGACATGTACAAAACCCAGGCAGGGATTAACCAAGTCTGACAGCACTGATGTGACTCCAGTTCTGTGTATGTATAAGCGATAATGAACCAAAGGCCCTGTTTGTCTTCAAATAACACACAAAATGATTAATTATTCGGAGGGGCATGAGTAATAATCACAATATTATATGCTTGACCATAATGGAACACTGCTCTCTTCTTGCTTTGTTCCTCTAATCTTGGAGAAGCAAATATCCACAGGGTGTTACCAGTAGGCTTGGAAGGAGATTGCAGTCGCTCACAGCTTATGAGGAGTACTTCTTTCCCATTGTGATTTTATGCCCCTGGGACACGCAGAAAACCTCTTTGGAAAATACACATAATTGCTAAAGGATTAAAGAGATGTACAGGAAGAAAAAAGGCAAAGAACTCCAGTTGCAGATTGCAGACTGTAACATGTTCCCATTAAATTCAACAGCAAAGTTTTCTTCCGTTCAAGAACAGGTCCTAACTGAACTTTTTAAATCATTGAGATATTCCTTGATAAAGATCACACACTTTAACACAGAGATGCATAAAAGAAAAAACAGATACTCAACCTCCCTATATTTAATGTTTATTCATTTGCTTCTGATGCAATGCAAAACTGCTCCTTTGGACATTCACCAAAGCAGCAACTCCAGCACTGGGATTTCTGCCTCTGGGGAGAA